AGTACACACACACACACACACACATATGGGTAAATTTATATAAATAGGGTGCTTTAGGAGGAATGATCAGGATTCTAGGATATGATTGTACACATCATTTTAAGCAAAGAAGTTTAGATAAACATGTTTAATAATTGTTCTATTCCGGTCATAAAAATATACAAAAATGAATGATATAATCTCTAAAAACTCACCTTTAAAAAAAGGTAAAAAAAGGCGACCAGTTAAGGGCACGCCATTAACAAAAATTATCCATTGCAAACCCATGTAGAATCCTATCCTATTGCAAACCCATGTAGAATCCTATAAAAAATTAATCATTGCAAACCCATGTAGAATCCTAGGCAAAATTAACCATTGCAAACTCATGTAGAATTGTATTAAAAATGATCCATTGCAAACTTATGTAGAATCCTACATTGCAAACCCATGTACAATAGAATTGTATGAAAAATTATCGATTATAAATTCATGTACAATCGTAACAAAAGTAATGAAATAAAAAAAAAATTGCGCCAAGTGAAAGTAGAAACTTGTACCAGTGGAAAATTAAAGTTGCAGACATATATAGAGTCGTATAATGAATCAGTAAAAATTTAAATTTGCAAATGTAGAATCGTACCATAAAAAAACTTATCTTTAAAAAAAAAGATAAACAAGATGCCAAGTCCATGCGCCATGTAAAAAAGAAATAAAAAAATTTTAGTTAAAAAAACTGGGAGCGCTGCTAAATAATATTCTAACAATATTAAAATTAAATTGTTACTTTTAAACTCATTACAGTTAAAATATGTTTTGTGTTTAAATTAATTAATGTTACTTTAAGGTTCATTGTAATTTTGAAACTTAGCAGCGCGCCCAGTTTTTTTAACTAAAATTTTTTTATTTCTTTTTTACATGGCGCATGGACTTGGCATCTTGTTTATCTTTTTTTTTAAAAGATAAGTTTTTTTATGGTACGATTCTACATTTGCAAATTTAAATTTTTACTGATTCATTATACGACTCTATATATGTCTGCAACTTTAATTTTCCACTGGTACAAGTTTCTACTTTCACTTGGCGCAATTTTTTTTTTATTTCATTACTTTTGTTACGATTGTACATGAATTTATAATCGATAATTTTTCATACAATTCTATTGTACATGGGTTTGCAATGTAGGATTCTACATAAGTTTGCAATGGATCATTTTTAATACAATTCTACATGAGTTTGCAATGGTTAATTTTGCCTAGGATTCTACATGGGTTTGCAATGATTAATTTTTTATAGGATTCTACATGGGTTTGCAATAGGATAGGATTCTACATGGGTTTGCAATGGATAATTTTTGTTAATGGCGTGCCCTTAACTGGTCGCCTTTTTTTACCTTTTTTTAAAGGTGAGTTTTTAGAGATTATAGTGTATATACCTGAATCACTATTATTAGATTGCTGTTGCTCATTTTCACCTAATGCTGCTTCAAGAAATTTCGTCATACGAACTATCTCTACAGCTGCTATTGACTGTCGATAATGGCGTTTATGAATTTTCTCGTGATGTCCCATAAAGTTCGCCAAATCATCCACTTCATTGTCAGATAAATTTAACGTAATGCATGTTGTAGCAATATGTTTACGTAATTCAGTATCTCTTAAAGAATGTGGTATTTGTGCATCACATTTTTTAGAAAAATATCGCATAAGGTTACACGCTCTTAAATATTTGAAATGACGTTTGGTACTACTACGTATGCCAAACACATACGGATTTTTCTCAGGAACATTTGCATCCTTTCGCTGGTTCAAAATTAGTTCAACACATTGAACTAATACCATGTCTAAAATCACAGGCACTGTACGTCCCAATTTTCCACGAATTAAGAATCTTACGTATTTATCAGCAACCTATATACAAAAGTTATATATGGATTATTATTTTGCATCATATACCATATTGTGTGTAATTTAATTATAATATTTGTAAACAAATAATATTTATACATAATATTTATAAATAAATTTATCATATTTAATACTTTGTGTAACATCATCTTTCCTCAAAACTGGGAATAAAAATTTTCTTACTGTCTCAATTGCACATTCATGAATTCTGCCCATCAAAGCACGTCCTAAAACTTGTACATTTCTGCCTTTCGATTTTCCTACACATTCTTTAAAATGATGCCTGTTATTATTTTTAGTGAACCATCCTTTACACTTTGCGCAACTTATAAAATCTTGTACTGTTTTGCAACTATTTTTGGCAGGCCTTCGACAAACAATTAATTCTCCCGTATTTAAGAAAGGATCCGTATTATGTATGAAATTCCTTTTTTTTCTAATAGACTATATAATTTGTTTTCTTTCTAAATTATCTGCAATGAGAATATTAAGTAATGTATATATAATGTAAATAATGTATATATAATGTAAAATATATATATAATGTAAATATATTAATAAAAATTATAACATATTAATATATTATATTTAACAAATAATCAATATTTATAAAAAAATATACTATAAACTTAAATAATTATACAGAATTGAAAAATATGATCACCTTTTGGTAATAATACAAATTTCTTTACTTCAAGTTCCAATTTATGCACGTTTTCTAAATGACGTGCAATTTTACTCTGAAACTTTTTGCAATAGTAGCAAAAATTTTTTTTTTGATGTCCCTTAGGTTGAGAAAATGGAACATATAAATTGTCTTCTCTACAACCAAATGTATTGATAGAAGAAAGATCTATCAGTGATTCTGAAGAATTTTTATCATTAGTTGCAGATACTTTATTGCGGAAGCTTTCATGTTCCGTAATTTCTTTGTCAATTGTAATTTCCAATGCTGAAGGTACATATTCTAAAATACTTGATGAGTTTGCAGAAGCAATATTGTCATTAATATCATCACGGGAAATCATATTATTATCACTATCATTACTTAATGTGTTTGCACAAACAATGTTGTCATTAATATTTTCATCATCACAGGAAATCATATTATTATCACTATTATTATAATTTATAGAAGCTTTGGCGTTAGTGAGATCATTTAACATAATAGAATTATTATCATCATTAAAAAAATATATCATGACATCTTTGAGAACAATACCCGTTTCAGACACATTGAAATTATCATTATCACAGGAAAATGTAAGATTATTATTATGAGAATTATTACTTTTCATAAAATTAATATCAATATCAGTATTTACATAACAGTTATCATCGTCACAAGAAAGTATCACATTATCAAAATCAGTATCATTTGCAGAATTGTTAGCATTAATAGTACTATCTACTGCATTATGATTTCTGTCATTACAGGAAAATGTAATGTTAAGTTTAGTAGCTTTTACTCTATTCTGCTCATTATTAGACTCATTAGGAATTATCATAGCATTATCACAACCAACATTTTTCTTAGAATTATTAGTTACACAATTTTCATCATTTATTGCAGTGTGATCATGTTCATTAGAAAATGTCCCGTTGTTATCAAAATCAGTACTATTCGCAGAATTATTGTCATTAATATTTTCTACAATGCTATCATTTCCATTATTATCGGCATTATTATTTGTAAAATTATCAGTATTACCAATAATTTTCGTTTTAAATCCGTTATTAGAATCAACGTGTTTTATAAGATAATTGATGTTACTTTGATCATTTGCATTGTGGCCTTGTTCATTATAAAGAAATGATACTACATTATTGTCAAAATCAATAGCATTACTTAAATTGTTAGTATTAGTATTCTTTTTAGTATAATTCATATTGATAATGCAAGCATCTTGTGGTATTTCTGTAGTTTCTACAAAAAAAGTATAATTATTGTAAAAAATAGAAATGCAATATATTGCATGTAGTTTTAGAATTATAATACTATAATACTTACTATTATTATTATTGACAATTAATTTTATGTTTTCCAGAGCAATACGTGGATTATTTGTATTTAAACTTTTAGCAATTGCAAGAATATCATTTTTATTTTCTGTAACAATAAATATAGTAATTTCAATTATTTATATATAAATAACCACAGAAATTAACGCGTTGATGCAAGAATTTAACTGAAAAGAAAATTAAAAAGCAGTGCTGAGTAAAAACTTTAGATTTTTACGACTTAAGTTAATATTAACCTTTTAAAAAGCGAATAAAAAGGTTACGTGCTGTTGTGCTCAATATTAACAATATTATTGCAATGTAAACATTTTATATTATTTTAAATAAATATAGAATGGTGATACTTACTATTCTGTGCAATTGTACGTATAATACATGTTTTTTTACGATTCCTAACTGGACATTTTACGCGTCTTCTCTTGTGTTTTATATTTACATGATATTTATGATAATTACAAAAAAATAATATATATTGTGACATTTTTCACTTAATGTGATGCAATCGCGTACAAACGAAACGAAACGATTTTCATTAAATGTAAACCGAAATCTTATATATATTACGCAATATCTTATGCAATATTGCTAATAAATATGGAAGGTGCCGGTCCCGCCAAATTATAAGTTTGTTCGCATAGCAGGCTCTCCCCAAACATACTTCTCGCTCCAATGCGATCCTATTGGATTATTTGGATATAAAGATGCTTTTATATGATAGCATCAAACGTGTCGGCGTAAAAACTCATTGCGCAAATGTTAAATAAAATAGATTTCAGCTTCTTGCTGCTAATAATAAGATGAATCATACGAGATCATACGATGAATAAGTCGAGATCAAATGAATATTAGCACATATTAGTACTGAAAATTAATATAATATTAATTATAATCATTATATTTATTATATTTATTAATATTATTAGCCACAAGAAGTTATTTTTTATCTTATGTGACATCTGCGCAAACGTAGATGCTTGACGCTTGATGCTAGCATGTAAAGGCACCTTTATGGCTCCTGCACACCAGCGCGATGACGCGACACGCGATGCGCGATATCCAATGAGCGTGCAGCTTTTCCGCACGTCATATCCGTCGCACTATAGAGTGCGACATCGCAAAAAAGTTGACCAAGTTTGAAGATTTGTAGCGCGCGACGAGCGATTTACTGCGATCCTATCTATAGATGCGATGTCGTTATAAACAAAGAGGATCTCTTTGGTTATAAATAAACGTGCAACGACATCGATCCGAGAGTGATATTGTCATTAAATTATAAAATTGCAATAAATGGTAAATATGCAATAAATGATGTTAGGTTTTGTAATCGCGCATCGCGTTTATATGAATAGGTAGAAAATCCTATTCTCGCGATTCGTCGCATATCGCGTGTCGCGTCATCGCGCTGGTGTTACTGAGACTGAGAGAGAGAGAGAGAGAGAGAGAGAGAGAGATTGCGGTGGAACGAGTTAAACAGTATTTAGATCATGTGCCGACTGAAAATACAATGGGCACTAATCAACCTTACGCGTGGCCTAGTCAAAGTGTTGTGGAATTAAAAAAGTTGTTTTGATGTACAGGTAATATTTTCAAATTTTTTGATAAAGATAATGCACGATTGTAACATTTGGTAAAAGAAATTTTTGTAATTATATTCGCAGGAACCATTTAGTGCCATCGTTGAAAGAGATAACATTCGTTACTCGACCAGCGGAAAAAATAGACGTCGTTGGTCGCACCGGTGCTGGAAAAAGTTCGTTACTAGCTTCGTTGTTTAGACTGACAGAGATCAGTTCTGGGAGTATATTAATCGACAACGTGAATATTCAAACGTTACAACTGAACACATTAAGGTATTCATAAACTTGCAAAAAATAATCATTGTATGTTAACAGTTGTAAAGAAAAGAAAAACATTCCAGATCCCGTTTAGCAATTATACCTCAGAATCCGTTTCTTTTCTCGGGTACTAATCGAGAGAATGTGGATCCGTTGGATCAGTATACCTATATGCACATACATATATACAAAACCTTCGAGAAATGTAAAGTGCATTCTTTAGTTCATCGAATGGATGGTTTGGATGCAGTCTTGGATGAAGGTGGTAGTAATCTCAGCACTGGGCAGAGACAATTGTTCTGCTTAGTCAGAGCTGTGCTACACAATGCGAAGGTACTTCTTATCTGTAATATTCAAGAAAGCAATTGTTCCTGTATTAATAACTTGATATTTATTTATCTCTGTGAAATTAGTCTTTTTTTCTTACTTTCTCATTTGCTTTGCTTTTGAATAAAAAATTCTTAAGTACCTCAAATTGAAAAATTATCTTCGTAAATCCAATGTTTAATTATGGGTTCTATGTAATCCCTCATGGATTCTAACAATTATTATTAGGAAACTAGAACTAAGAGTGTAAACATTTTCTGCAATTCTTCTGAAGATAAATATTTCAAAATTAATTTAAATAATTTTTTTTAATTTGCATTTTTTTACATAATGGGAAATGTCGTTAAGTTATAATCTTTTAGGTATTCAAATTTTTAAAATTTTTGTAATTATTATGTGATAAATATAAAACACAAGACGATACACATTAATTGTTCAGTTAATAGGAATTTTAAGAAAAACATGTATTATATGTATAATTGTACAGAATAGTATCATTATTATATATTTATTTAAAGTAATATAAAATGTTTTCATTGCAATAATATTGTACGTATTAAGTGCATACAACAGCACATAACATATTAATTTGATTTTTGGGAGGTTAATATTAATATAAATTGTAAAAATTCTAAAGTTTTTACACAGCGCTTTTTAATTTTCTTGTCAGTTAAATTCTTGCATCAATGCGTTAATTTCTGATTACTTATATTTAAATAATTAAAATTACTTTATTTTTATAGAAAGTAAAGACGATTTTTTGGATATTGTTAATAGTTTAAATACTTTAAATAGAAATAATCCACGCATTGTTCTGAGAGACATGATCACAAAGCTTAATATATTAATATACTTTGACATAGTCACAATTATAATACTAAATATAATACTAAATATAATACTAAAATATAATACTAAATATAATACTAAAATATAATACTAAATATAATACTAAATAATATTAAAGAGAAAATTTACTCTGATTTGATAAATTTATAAAAACTGAATAGAATATGTGAAAATGAAAAAATAAACTTACTACTGCGATGTTTCTTTATCTTTGGGGAATAAGTTTCGTCAGAATCATTGTCATTATTCACTATTGTATGGTTTTGATGCATGATTTTCTTTTTTACAGATTTTTGTTGTCCATCTGTTATGGTAGGAAATTTAGGTAATTTCCTTTCTGTTCGTAATAAAGAAAGCTTACGTGAACTTATCATACATGTTTCGGCATCGTTTTCCGATTCTGCACTCGAAGTATCTTTGTTTGTACCTTAATTATTATATATGTATATATATGTGTAAACCAATTCTTGAAACTAAGGGCTAATATATGCTACAACCGCGGATGTCGATGCATAAAAATTGAGTAAAGCAGAATGAACACAATAATGAAACGTATTCTCAATTTGAATCCATTTCAATGAATATATCATATTCATACTTTGATTTAATAGGTTCCAAACGTAACGTTTCATTGTTGCATTAGCCTTAATATCATAAGTTTTGGTTAATAAGGACTTTTGTCTGATTTTTTCTTCTAATTAAATAGATATATTAAAAATGCAGAAAAGTTGAAAAAAGGCATACAATAATTAATATATTTTATACAAAAATTAATATATAAAAAGAACTTGTGGCATATATATAATAAGATAAATAGTGTATATACCTGAATCACTATTATTAGATTGCTGTTGCTCATTTTCATCTAATGCTGCTTCAAGAAATTTTGTCATACGAACTATCTCTATAGTTGCTATTGACTGCCGATAATGGCGTTTATGAATTTTCTCGTGATGTCCCATAATCTAATAATAGTGATTCAGGTATATACACTATTTATCTTATTATATATATGCCACAAGTTCTTTTTATATATTAATTTTTGTATAAAATATATTAATTATTGTATGCCTTTTTTCAACTTTTGTGCATTTTTAATATATCTATTTAATTAGAAGAAAAAAGTCCTTATAAACCAAAACTTATGAAATTAAGGCTAATGCAACAATGAAACGTTACGTTTGGAAATTATTAAATCAAAGTATGAATATGATATAACCATAAAGTTCGCCAAATCATCCACTTCATTGTCAGATAAATTTAACGTAATGCATGTGGTAGCAATATGTTTACGTAATTCAGTACCTCTTAAAGAATGTAGTATTTGTGCATCACATTTTTTAGAAAAATATCGCATAAGGATACACGCTCTTAAATATTTGAAATGGCGTTTGGTACTACTAGGTATGCCAAACAGATACGGATTTTTTTCAAAAACATTTGCATCTTTCGCTAGTTCAATATAAGTTCAATACATTGAACTAATTCCATGTCTAAAATCACAGGCACTGTACGTCCCAATTTCCTACGAATTAAGAATCTTACGTATTTATCAGCAACTATACAAAAGTTATATGTGGGTAATTATTTTGCATGTATATACCATATATATAATTTAATTACACGCACAAATAAAATTTATAAATAAATAATAGTAATAATAATTTTTAGCTGCTGTAATTTTGTGCCTAATGATTTATATAAATTTAAATGGGTCTTTTTCGTTATACCTTCGCGAGTATTAAAATCTTCAATAGTAACCCGTTCTATTTTTCCTGCTCTTCTATTAAAAACTTGCATTGATATAACTGTTGCAAGTTCTAGCCATGTTTCGTATTTAAATTTCTTCTGAAGTTTTGCATACAATAATTTTCTTTCGTTATTTAGATATGAGTGTAATTTTTTTATGTCTTCCATAGATGGAAAGACTTTTAGCTTACTTTTAGCTTAACTTTTCTAATAATTTTTAGCAATTGCCAGACAATCATTTTTATTTTCTGTAACAATAAATATAGTAATTTCAATTATTTGGATATAAATAATCAGAAATTAACGCGCTGATGTAAGAATTTAACTGAAAAGAAAATTAAAAAGCAGTGCTGAGTAAAAACTTCAGATTTTTACGACTCAAGTTAATATTAACCTGTTAAAAATCAAATAAAAAGGTTACGTGCTGTTGTGCTCAATATTAACAATATTATTGCAATGAAAACATTTTTTGCAACTATTTTTGGCAGGCCTTCGACAAACAATTAATTCTCCCGTATTTAAGGAAGGATCCGTATTGTGTATGAAATTCCCTTTCTTTCTAATAGACTCTATAATTTGTTTTCTTTCTAAATTACCTGCAATGAGAATATTAAATAATGTATGTATATAATGTAAATATATTAATAAAAATTATAACATATTAATATATATTTAAAAAATAATCAATATTTATAAAAAAATATACTATAAACTTAAATAATTATACAGAATTGAAAAATATGATCACCTTTTGGTAATAATACAAATTTCTTTACTTCAGGTTCCAATTTATGCACGTTTTCTAAATGACGTGCAATTTTACTCTAAAACTTTTTGCAATAGTAGCAAAAATTTTTTTTTGATGTCCCTTAGGTTGAGAAAATGGAACATATAAATTGTCTTCTCTACAACCAAATGTATTGATAGAAGAAAGATCTATCAGTGATTCTGAAGAATTTTTATTATTAGTTGGAGATACGTTATTGCGGAAGCTTTCATGTTCCGTAGTTTTTTTGTCAATTGTAATTTCCGATGCTGAAGGTAGATATTCTAAAGTACTTGATGTGTTTGCAGAAGCAATATTGACATTAATATCATCACAGGAAATCATATTATTATCACTATCATTACTTAATGTGTTTGCACAAGCAATATTGTCATTAATATTTTCATCATCACAGGAAATCATATTATTATCATTATCATTATAATTTATAGAAGCTTTGGCGTTAGTGAGATCATTTAAGATACTAGAACTATTATCATCGTTAAAAGAAAATATCATGACATCTTTGAGAACAATACCCGTTTCAGACACATTGAAATTGTCATTATCACAGGAAAATGTCAGATTATTATTATGAGAATTATTACTGTTTATAAAATTAATATCAATATCAGTATTTACATGACAGTTATTGTCATTATCACAAGAAAGTATCACATTATTATCAAACTCACAGTTATTCTTAGAATTATTAGCATTAATGTTATTATTATTGCACAAAAGTGATATATCAATATTAGAATCATTATCATTCGTAGAATTATTGATACTGATATTACTATCTACCGTTTTACAACCATTACTATTATCATAAGAAGATATCACATTATCAAAATCAGTATCATTTGCAGAATTGTTAGCATTAATAGTACTATCTACTACATTATGATTTCTGTCATTACAGGAAAATGTAATGTTAAGTTTAGTAGCCTTTACTCTATTCTGCTCATTATTAGACTCACTAGGAATTATCATAGCATTATCACAACCAACATTTTTCTTAGCATTATTAGTGACACAACCTTCATCATTTATTGCAGTGTGATCATGTTCAATAGAAAATGTAACGTTCTTATCAAAATCAGTACTATTCGCAGAATTATTGTCATTAATGATATTATCTACAATGCTATCATTTCCATTATTATCGGCATTATTATTTGTATAATTATCAGTATTACCAATAATTATCGTTTTAAATCCGTTATTAGAATCAACGTGTTTTATAAGATAATTGACGTTACTTTGATCATTTGCATTGTGGCCTTGTCCATTATCAAGAAAAGATACTACATTATTGTCAAAATCAATAGCATTACTTAAATTGTTAGTATTAGTATTCTTTTTAGTATAATTCATATTGATAATGCAGGCATTTTGTGGTATTTCTGTAGTTTCTACAAAAAAAGTATAATTACTGTAAAAAATAGAAATGCAATATATTGCATGTAGTTTTAAAATTATAATACTGTAATACTTACTATTGTTATTATTGACAATTAATTTTATGTTTTCCAGAGCAATACGTGGATTATTTGTATTTAAACTTTTAGCAATTGCAAGAAGATCATTTTTATTTTCTGTAACAATAAATATAGTAATTTTAATTATTTATATATAAATAACCACAGTATTTAACGCGTTGATGCAAGAATTTAACTGAAAAGAAAATTAAAAAGCAGTGCTAAGTAAAAACTTTAGATTTTTACGACTTAAGTTAATATTAATCTGTTAAAAATCGAATAAAAAGGTTACGTGCTGTTGTGCTCAATATTAACAATATTATTGCTATGATAACATTTTATATTATTTTAAATAAATATAGAATGGTGATACTTACTATTCTGTGCAATTGTACGCATAATACATGTTTTTTTACGATTCCTAACTGGACATTTTACGCGTCTTTTCTTGTGTTTTATATTTACATGATATTTATGATAATTACAAAAAAATAATATATATCGTGACATTTTTCACTTAATGTGATGCAATCGCGTACAAACGAAACGAAACGATTTTCATTAAATGTAAACCGAAATCTTATATATATTACGCAATATCTTATGCAATATTGCTAATAAATATGGAAGGTGCCGGTCCCGCCAGATTATAAGTTTGTTCGCATAGCATACTTTCTCCAACTGAAAAGTAAATGAAAAAGCGGTGCTGTATAAAAAATTTGAATTTTTACGACTTATATTAATATTAACCTGTTAAAAATCAAACAAAAAATATGTATATAATGTATATATAATATAAATAATGTATATATAATAAATAATGTATATATAATGTAAATATTGTATATATAATGTAAATAATGTATATATAATGTAAATAGCGTATATATATTGTAAATATTGTAAATAATGTATTCTATTGTTCTGTTTATAGATATACCATAATCTTATTGTACTAATTTTAAAGTTTTCTGTAGCATTTTGCTTTTCTATATCATTAGCTTTTATGCATTCAGTTATTAACAAATTACCAATTTGTTTTAAATATGTCCCAATATTTGACGCAACTGATGGTGCACCATATTTTTTATTAATATCATCAAAATGAGCTACTTTATTTACTGCTTTCAGACAATCATCATATATGGAAGGATTATATATATCAGAAAACTCTGTTATGTTAGAGTTATATTCTTTCACTGCGATAAGAAACCTTCCTTATAATCGAAGTTTAGCACGTATCATATCTTGTTGGTGTTGATGATTGTACTTGATACATAATTTGTTCGCAAATGTTATTATTAATTTATCATATTTAATACTTTGTGTAACATCATCTTCCCTCAAAACTGGGAATAAAACTTTTCTTACTGTCTCACTTGCACATTCATGAATTCTGCCCATCACAGCACGTCCTAAAACTTGTACATTTCTGCCTTTGGATTCTCCTACACATTCTTTAAAATGATGCCTGATATTATTTTTAGTGAACCATCCTTTACACTTTGCGCAACTTATAAAATCTTGTACTTTTTTGCAACTATTTTTGGCAGGCCTTCGACAAACAATTAATTCTCCCGTATTTAAGGAAGGATCCGTATTGTGTATGAAATTCCCTTTCTTTCTAATAGACTCTATAATTTGTTTTCTTTCTAAATTACCTGCAATGAGAATATTAAATAATGTATATATAATGTAAATAATGTATATATAATGTAAATAATGTATATGTAATGTAAATAATGTATATATATATAATGTAAATATATTAATAAAAATTATAACATATTATCATTATATTAAAAAAATATTTATATTTATTAATATTTATAAAAAATTTACTATAAACTTAAATAATTATACAGAATTGAAAAATATGATCACCTTTTGGTAATAATACAAGTTTCTTTACTTCAGGTTCCAATTTATGCACGTTTTCTAAATGACGTGCAATTTTACTCTGAAACTTTTTGCAATAGTAGCAAAAATTTTTTTTTATGTCCCTTAGGTTGAGAAAATGAAACATATAAATTGTCTTCTCTACAACCAAATGTATTGATAGAAGAAAGATCTATCAGTGATTCTGAAGAATTTTTATCATTAATTGTAGATACGTTATTGCGGAAGCTTTCATGTTCCGTAGTTTCTTTGTCAATTGTAATTTCCGATGCTGAAGGTAGATATTCTAAAGTACTTGATGTGTTTGCAGAAGCAATATTGTCATTAATATCATCACGGGAAATCATATTATTATCACTATCATTACTTAATGTGTTTGCACAAGCAATGTTGTCATTAATATTTTTATCATCACAGGAAATTATATTATTATCACTATCATTACTTGATGTGTTTGCACAAGCAATGTCATTAATATTTTTATCATCACAGGAAATCATATTATTATCACTATCATTATAATTTATAGAAGTTTTGGCGTTAGTGAGATCATTTAAGATATTAGAATTATTATCATCGTTAAAAGGAAGTATCATGACATCTTTGAGAAGAATACCCGTTTCAGACACATTGAAATTGTCATTATCACAGGAAAATGTCAGATTATTATTATGAGAGAATTATTACTGTTCATAAAATTAATATCAATATCAGTATTTACATGACAGTTATTATCATCATCACAAGAAAGTATCACATTATTATCAAACTCATAGTTATTCTTAGAATTATTAGCATTAATGTTATTATTATTGCACAAAAGTGATATATCAATATTGGGATCATTATCATTCGTAGAATTGTCCCCAAAACTGCCATTGTATGATAATGTAGCAGTTTTGAAGTCTTTTGATAAATCATAGTTAATGTCCTAAAAGAATAATACTAAGACAATTAAATGATCGAAATTAATGTTTGGCAATCTTACAACTTTCATTTTCACTAACTTTATAATCTCTAGCCAAATAGACTCAAGTTCCGCAATAAGCTCAAGTTACGCAATTGGCTATTATAGAGATATGTAACAAATATATAACAACTACATGAAGAAAAATTCCTTAAGAAATAAAATACTACAGAAATGTATATTTACTTATGATATGTATAATATACTGCATACATATAATACAATATGCTGCATTTAGGTTTGACATGGTAAAGCACTGTTTTTCCTGACATATTTACTGCAGTAGCAGTACAAATGGTTTCTCAATATTCTAGCATCAATAATATGAAACCGTTAATATTTCGTATATAATCGGTTGACACATGTGAGTGTGTATATATTTCTTATTTAATATATTCTCAAATAAATCAGTTGCAATATTAAAGACCGTTATTTTTTTCTGTAATAAAATATACATAAAACATACATAATACATAATATAATGTTACATAGGGTGACTCATTTTAATTTGTAAATTAAATAGCTCGGAAATGACTTTGAGTTAAAAAATTAAACACATGGGTGAATACAGCTATATGTGTTCAATTTTTTAATTCAAAATGATTTGCAAGATATATTGATTTATAAATTAAAATAGGTTACTTTGTATAAAGTGTAATAATATTCTTTTTCACGTAGGATAACAAATATATATAAAGTTAAATTCTTTATGCTATATATATAAAAGATGCACATTTCTTATTTGAGCAAATTGTTCAATTTTTATTTTTGATTGTTATCGGTGGATGAGTGTCTCTGGGAGCAACCTTAATTATAAAGTTTCAAAATAAGATAAAAAAAGAGAGAGAGAGAGAGAGAGAGAGAGAGAGAGAAATATAATTATGATATTTAAGATAAAATCGTAGTTAAGATAAAGATTTCTGATAGAAGAGATATTAGATGAAAACGATACATCTAATGCAATTTACTTCTCTGCGCTTGTGTTATTTATAAAATGTGTATTCACAAGATATATTACTAGTTGTCAAGTATAATATATGTAATCCCTTTATATATAAAAAAATTATAAAATTAATTAAAATCACTATATTTTACTTACAAACTATCTGTCATTGCTATATAGAATTAATCTTAATATCTTTTTTAATTAAAAAGACAGGAATAAGTAAACATTTGAGACATTTTGAGATACAAAAATATTGTGGAGCTCTTAAGGAAACGGGAGGGCCCTCTTTTTGTAATATTCCAAGAAATTAATCTTGAAAAATTACGAAAATTTCAATGCAACAGACTCAGTTTTATATATATTATTAGATCAATGGAAAATAATAATGTTACAGAAGTTGCAATTGTATAAAATATTGTTTTAAAAGTTAATCAGAAAAAGCATATAATTGTCTGTTTTAGGACAATTATTTAAATAATTAGTATCAAAATTAATTTTACTGATTTATTTTTTTTTTACAATTTGATGAATATAAATGTTATGTAAAAAGTAGAAGGATAAAACATTAAATATGTAGATAATAGGAATTGTAAAAATATATTTCTATGTATAGTCACAAAAAAGTATTCTTTTATATTTGTTTAAAGCAATTTGAAATATATTTAGTAAAATAATAATTGAACAATGAACATATGAGCATATACATGTATATTATATATATAAAAACACAAACCTAATACATATATGTATAATAGTATGTTGCACTTGTAATCATGAATACATATTATCAATAAAAGAATTAAAATAAATAACTTTACAAGTATTGCTTCTATACATATAATATAAATATATGAAGAAATCAAAATAAAAAACTTGTGTAGCTTTTGCTTTCTTTTTATAAAATTCTCGCAATGTAACTTAACTTTTAGCTTAATGTGTTATATAATTAATTTCACAAATTGCACTTGTAATCATGAATACATATTATCAATAAAAATTGTAATAAATAACTACACAGTACTGCTACTCTACATATAATATAAATATGTGAAAAAATCAAAATAAATAGCTTGCGCAGTGCAGCTTTTCTAACTTTCTTTTTATAAAATTCTCGCAATGTAACTTAACTTTTAGCTTAATGTGTCATATAATTAATTTCACATATTGCACTTGTAATTATGAATATATATTATCAATAAAAGAATTGTAATAACTACACAGTACTGCTACTGTACATACAATATAAATATATGAAGAAATCAAAATAAATGACTTTGCGCAGTGCAACTTCTCTAACTTTCTTTTTATAAAATTCTCGCAATGTAACTTAACTTTTAGCTTAATGTGTCATATAATTAATTTCACATATTCCACTTGTAATCATGAATATATATTATCAATAAAAAAATTGTAATAACTACACAGTACTGCTACTCTACATATAATATAAATATATGAAAAAATCAAAATAAATAGCTTGCGCAGTGCAGCTTTTCTAACTTTCTTTTTTATAAAATTCTCGCAATGTAACTTAACTTTTAGCTTAATGTGTCATATAATTAATTTCACATATTGCACTTGTAATTATGAATATATATTATCAATAAAAGAATTGTAATAACTACACAGTACTGCTACTCTACATACAATATAAATATATGAAGAAATCAAAATAAATGACTTTGCGCAGTGCAACTTCTCTAACTTTCTTTTTTATAAAATTCTCGCAATGTAACTTAACTTTTAGCTTAATGTGTCATATAATTAATTTCACATATTGCACTTGTAATCATGAATATATATTATCAATAAAAGAATTGTAATATCTACACAGTACTGCTACTCTACATATAATATAAATATATAAAGAAATCAAAATAAATGACTTTGCGCAGTGCAACTTCTCTAACTTCTTTTTTTATAAAATTCTCACAACGTAACTTAACTTTTAGCTTAATGTGTCATATAATTAATTTCACATATTGCACTTGTAATCATGAATATATTATCAATAAAAGAATTGTAATAACTACACAGTACTGCTACTCTACATATAATATAAATATATGAAGAAATCAAAATAAATGACTTTGCGCAGTGCAACTTCTCTAACTTTCTTTTTTATAAAATTCTCGCAATGTAACTTAACTTTTAGCTTAATGCGTCATATAATTAATTTCACATATTGCACTTGTAATCATGAATATATATTATCAATAAAAGAATTGTAATAACTACACAGTACTGCTACTCTACATATAATATATATATATGAAGAAATCAAAATAAATGACTTTGCGCAGTGCAACTTCTCTAACTTCTTTTTTTATAAAATTCTCACAACGTAACTTAACTTTAAGTTTTATGTGTTGAAATAATAAAAATTAGGTATTCTACTTATTTTTTGCAATTTCTTAAATACAAGTAATCTACGTATTATTTTTGAATAAAAAATTAAAATATTTCCGATTTGACTAAATAAATATTTTCTGAAAAAATATTTATTCATTTAATGACGCTTAATTTTGCCAGATATATAGTTATGGATCCACGTTTTAATTTGAGC